ATACAAAAAAATTAATAGTTCGACCAGTTTGATATTTTTCCCTGAAACTGATCTTAAAATTCTCCATAGCCGTGACTCTTTCCTTTAATATCGTTGTTCTTCTCACATAGCCGAGAAACTTGAACTGAGCAATGATTGTGCCCTCACGGGTTGCAATGGTGAAGCCAACTTTTGGCGGGTCAGCCAAATTATTGCCGCGGGTCATAGGTTGCCGACCACTGATATAGAGCATGAACAAATTTAACATTATTAGAAAATAATTAAAATCTTTGTAAATTCCATCCACTGGTCTCGTATATTAAACATTGTACTAAGTACAACAACTAGGTGTTTGGTATGCTTGTTGAAAATCGAGTCGAATAGTAATAAAGTTAAGATTTTTAAAGAGTTGTTCAGCCTTAGATATTGTAAAATCACAAACTAGTCATTATCACAATAACCATGTCCAGCTTTAGGTAGTAGGTGAGAGAGGCAACTACAGTGGTGGCAAAAACGGTAAAATTTTCATATGAGTTTTACTTTCAAGAGAAATCTTGTTTTATATCTTTTGTCACGTGTTACCGAACTGAAAACTGTCCATTCTTTCAGACAATGCAAGACAAGAACTTAAATGTAAAATCGAGCTCCTATTAACTTCAAGAAACTATATTTTAAATGACAACTTCGAACCTTTGCAGCTGAAACAATAGGACGATGGAACTAAAGTTCAACAGAAGTCACAATGGCAGTTTACTATAGAAGTTGCATCATTAGGTTCACGCAATATTATATGCTTATAGTGCTGGGGTTCTGGTTTTTACAACAACCTAAACAGCTTGTTAAGTTTTGGGTGGTAAAATTTGTAACTCAACCTACGTGGATTTTCTGTCATCAAAATGTGATAATAGGATTATGACATCTTAAATTCAAACCCATTTCATTTTCTCGTTTCGTTCTTATTATCTTTGTTAGATGGCAGCACCAGCAGCATATACTACCGCTTCCAAAATTACTAGCATTAAATACACAGATTGCACGAACAAGTGATATTTGTTTTCTTTATTGTGTAAAGAAGAAAATGGTAGAGGAATTTAACAGTGTTACTGCGCTGTTTGTACCATGTATTAAAACACAGCGATATAACTTTGGTAACTGGATAGTAAAGGCTTGCTGGCACAGTCTTTCGGTTTGAGCGCTGTACTCGCAATCAGGGTATCGTGTGTGAATGAAACCCGTCACCAAACTATTCGCTCTTTTTGCCTTGGGTTTTTTATAACGCGGTACTCAGTTTATCTATTCGTTGGGAAGGAATTGGCGGTAGGTGGTGTTTAGTAGCTGCTTTTCCTCTAGTCCAGGGGTCACCAAACTACGGCCCGCCGCTGCACTGTGTCACAAATGAGCTAAAATAAAATAATTTATATGAAAATATCATAGATTGTAGATAAACTTACTATGTAAAAAAAAATAAAGTAAGTGTAAGTAAAAATGTCCAAATTTGTCCAATCTGATTTTTGCATCTGACAGTAATATAAGTTTTAGGAAAATCAGTGAAATAAAAAATTCGGCAACTTTGGATATCAAAGCGCTTATTGTGTAAATACCTGCAATGAGAGTTCATTCCTGCAGTCACCTCTGATAACTTAACTTCCAAGTATTTTTTTCTTACTTTTTCCTCCGTCTATTGAGAGATAACTGAACATCCAAGTATTTTTCCTTCTTATTTGTTTCTCCATCTATTGAGAGATAATTAAACTTCCAAGTATTTTTCTTATTTTTTTCTCCATCTATTGAGAGATAACTGAACTTCCAAGTATTTTTCTTAATTTTTTCTCCATCTATTGAGAGATAACTGAACTTCCAAGTATTTTTTCCCTATCTATTGAGAGATAATTAAACTTCCAAGTATTTTTGTTAATTTTTTCCACATCTATTGAGAGATAACTGAACTTCCAAGTATTTTTCTTAATTGTTTCTCCATCTATTGAGTGATAACTGAACTTCCAAGTATTTTTTCTCCATCTATTGAGAGATAACTGAACTTCCAAGTATTTTTTCTTTATTTTTCCTAACATAGATATTACAGCTGAAAGTAAACATAATCTATTTTTGGATTACATTGGAGGCCAGCGAAGCTGGAACGGTTCCTCCTGGACGGTACAAGTACCCCGGAGCACTGGACCTACGTTTAGGGAGATTTCCAGAACCCAACGCTTTCCAACTTCACCCCGGGTTACTGTATGTGCACACAATCATAACCCCAGATC